TGTATCTTCACATGACAAGTCTTGGTTCTCATTTTTTCCCCTCCTCCTTGCCCTCCCTTCCCCCCTCCTCCCCTCCCCATCTACAAACACTTCATTTCCATCTTTCATTATCTCACATTTTTTTCTTTTCCCTTATTACTCTTCCCCTACCCAACCCACCTTCCCTACACCTTTAGCTCCTTTCTTCCCATTTCTAAATGTCAGTAATCTTATTAGGGTCTTCTGTATTATTGCAGACTATTCACACCAGAGAAACTCTTTGGTGTTTACACATGTGTGCCTTATTTATTTCAATTAGGAGTATATCTTCAATATATATCCATTTTCCTATGAATGAATCTATTTTCTCATTCTTTATGGCTGAGTCATATTCCATTTTATAGGAAAACCACATCTTCTTTATCCAGTTTCCAATAGATGGGGAAATGGGCTGTTTCCAAGTTTTAGCTATTACAAACTGTGCTGCTATAAACACGGTGCACATACTTCTCTGTGATATGATTCTTTTAGTTCTTTTGGAAAGATACCCAGCAGGGGGATGGCTGGGTCAAATGGAACCTCCAGTCCAAGCTCTTTGAGGTATCTCCATATTGATTTCCATAGTGGTTGCACCAGTCTGCACTCCCACCAACAATAGAGAAGGGTTCCTTTCTCCCCACAACCCCGCCAACATTTGTTAGTGTGTGATTTCTTGATAGCAGCCATTCTTTGTGGGGTGAGGTGGAATATCAGTGTTGTTTTCATCTGCATCTCTCGAATGATCAGTGATGTGGAACATTTTTTCATATATTTACTTGCTGATTTTACTTCTTTGAGAAATGTCTGTTCATTTTGGATGCCCATTTTTGAATCAAGTCTTTATATTTGGGAGGCTGATTGTTTTGAGTTCTTTATATATCCTTGATAACAGTCCTTTGTCTGAGGAACAGCTGGTAAAATTTTTTTCCCACATTATAGATTGTTTCTTAGTTCTGCTGATGGTTTCTTTTGAAGTACAGAAGCTTTTTAATAATATGTGGGATCTCATCTTCTTAAAAAAGTTCTCCACAGCAGGAGAAACCACCAACAGAGGGAAGAGACAACTGATAATTGTCAGATAAGTGCTTTGAAATGGCTGCCACCATTCTGATAAATAACTTCCTTCTTCACCTTAAAGTTTCTGTTCCCTACCTCACACATCATGGGTCATAATGAATGTCCAGGGTGGCCCCTGAGTGGCTGCACTTGAAGCTAAAACAAACCCCAACCCACCTGCACCAGTCACCCACTATATAACCAAGCCTCTTTCCCACTTCCTCTCTCTCTCCATTGTTATCTCTCTGCCAAGCAGGCCACCATGCCACCATGGCTCTTTAATAAAGTCTCTCATACTGGCTCCTTTGGTGTGCGGAGACTTTTGGCCGATTCCAGTTCCTTTCAATAATGTTGGAAAAAATTTTTACCTGCTGTTCCTCTCTAAATGTCTTTCTAGAATCTATAAAGAACTTTAAAAAAAATCAGATCTCCCAAATTTAAAGACCCCAATCAAAAAATGGTCATCTGAAATGAACAGATATTTCTCAGACAAAGAAGTGAAACAGTAAGAATACATATGAAAAAATGTTCAACACCACTGGTCATTTGAGAGATGCAAATGAAAAGAACACTAAGATTTCACCTCACTCCTGGAAGATGGTATTTATCATAAGATCAACCAATAGCAAATGCTCGTGGGGCTGTGCGGAAAAGGGAACCCTGCTCCACTGCTGGTAGGAGTGTAGATTTTTGCAGCTACTGTGTAAATCAGTATGAAGATACCTTGAACTAGAATTTGAAGTTCCATTCGACCCAGCTATTCCCCTGCTGGGTATCTTCCCAAAAGAATTAAAAGAATTATATCACAGTGATATATGTGCATCCATGTTCATAGCAGCACAATTTGTGATAACTAAAACTTGGAAACAGCCCAATTTCCCATCAACTGGAGACTGGATAAAGAAATGTGGTTTCTTTATAAAGTGGAGTACTACTCAGCCATAAGGAATGAGACATTAGGCATTTATAGATAAATGGGTGCACATTGAGGATATTCTCTTACGTGAAATAAATAGGATTCACATATAAATACCAAATAGCTTCTCTGGTGTGAGAAACTGAAAGTGTAAATAAAGACTAAAAGGTATAACATACAAGGTGAAATAGGAATAAAGGGGGCAAAGGGGAAGTGGGATCCTTAGAGGAAAGAATGAAGGGAATGAAATTAATATGAGAAAATGAAAAAATGGAAAGAAAGTCTTTGTAAATAGGGAGGGGTGGAGGGGTTAAATGGAGGCCAGGTGTGAAAAATAATAATAATAAATGTACAAATTTACAATGACGAATGTCATTGTATTGTATACCTAAAATGTAACAATAAAATTAATTTTAAAATAAATAAAAATGTCTTTATTCTATTGGGAAAAATGGTATCTGCTTATTATAAAAAAAGAAACTTTCTTCATTTTTTTTCTTGGTACTGGAGCCTGAACCCTGAGACTTTTGAACTGAGGTCCATTCACAGCCCTTTTCAAGTGTTTATTTTGAGATGTGGTCTTGCTAAGTCACTGAACTGCCCAGTGGCTGAGCTTGAACTTGTGAGTCTCCTTCCTCAGCTTCCCAGAGCGTGGGGATTATAGGCATGCACCACCACTCCAGGTTTAAAAAAGAAAATTTCTAATGAAACAAAAATCCAAACAAGGCACCTCACCTACACTTTTACTTTTCAATATCAGTCCTAGAGAAAATCTCTGCTTATATTTTGGTGTTATCCTTCCAGATAGCTCTATGCTATACACTATATATTTTACACACCATCGTACTATTTTCCCTAACAAAATACAAGGCTGTGGAAAACTTACCATGTCAGTAGATGTAAGTCATCATTAGCCTTTGAGTGTCTGTGTAGTATTCCATCATGTGGACACATCCTAATTCATTTAGCTATTCCTCATTGCTAAGCATTTTTGTTGTTCCCAACTTTTAGCTGTTGTGTACAGTTGTGTGATTGAACATTTTTAAACAATTTTGGGGGCTTCTACATTTTTAAGGTTCTTGTGTATTTGGGGAGAAGACAGAGAGAGAGAGAGAGAGAGAGAGAGAGAGAGGGAGAGAGAAATAGCCAAACTATATAATACTCCATAAAAATAGCCTGGTAGAGAAGTAAAGGAAGCCTGAAAGGACAAAGCAATATCAGAAAAAAAATATTTCAAGCTGTTTTATCTAATACAGCTGCTAATCCATTCCTGCCATATGCCTTTGGGCAATGAAAGTGAGAACAGAGCAAGACAATTCTTTTTACTGCTTAAAATCCTGATCAACTCTTCTTTCCCTGATTTCCTGTTTGTGTCCTACCATTCTTCATTATTGGGATGATCAGAAAGCTGGAGACTTGAAAATGTGGAGCAGCTGTATTACACTGCTCCTCAGAATAATGCCAACAGGCTGCTTTAAGGGCTCATGTTCCTTTTCTCATACACATGGCAAACCACAGAACAAAAGCCCTGTTTTAGAGAAGTGTTAGTGCTGACAGATTGGTTTTACTTAAGGCAACTCATCCAACTGATGTCACCACTCAAGTTGTGCCAGGGGTCGGGGTGTACCCAATAATGTTATAGTGTTGGTGAGCTCTGCTCCAGCTCTACTTTGTTAATTTGATCTCAAGAGGCTTGCTCAGTGCTGCTTAGAATACAAGCATCTCCCAGAATTCCCTGTTCATTTTGAAGATATACTTCTGCTTCTGTCCTTATCAGTAAATCTAATGGAGGTGACACTCTACCTGTCTGATAAGCATCCTTCTCTGAAGATTCTGAATCTCTTGGAGGTTGACATGATCAAAGTGGGTGGTCATTGTCAAGAATACAGTAACTCATATTTAACCCCAATGACAGCTAATAGCCAATGTTGCCCATCAATTATGGGATGATGCTTCCTTTTTTGGAGATCTTTTATAGCTAAACATGGCTCCTGTGACCAAAAGAAAGGGAGAGAAAAGTCTCAGACCTGCAGCTTGCGACTGTAAAGCTCACATTTCCACCCACTCATCTACATTATATCTAAATAAATTGTGCTATATATGGAGAATCTCTAGACTCCATAACAGACACTCAGCTCTGACATCTGAGAAAGTAAATGAAAGACACAAAAAGCAAAGTGATTGGAATATCTTGGCTGTGTGACTTTAAGCAAGTCACTCAGTCTCTGATCTTTAGCTTTTCTATAGATAAAATGAGGATATTAAAATTTTGAGCTTTACCAAGCTCTTCTGATGTCAGTATACAGTATTCATTACCATCCCTAAGGTAGAAATCATTGTAGGTATTGCCTGACAAGGAGGGACTTTGCTGCAAATCCAGAATGTGGGCGTGATGATGAAATGGGCCAGGGATACATCAGCAGGCTCTAATGTAATGGTGGTGAACCTATGCCACACATACCATAATGGACTGTGTCATTGAAAACTCTAAGAAGGTTCACTATCACTGCTCTAGAGGAAGAGATGAGGAAAGGGTTGCACTTACCATTCAACATGTGGACATATTCACATTCACTAACCTTCCCAAAAGTTGATATTTGATACTATCAGTAAGAGGACCTTCTTCTTGCATTATTTATTTGCCTGGCTGGAACAGGGCATATGAGAGAGGAGGAAGGAAGAGAGAAAAATGAAACCAAAATAGAGGCAAAGGGTCTCTTCAGCTGCCTGCCTGCCTGAGATCACCCAGCAGGTGCGCGACCTCCCGGACTGCACAACAGACCCAGTAAGGAAGGTAGCAGCACGGGGGCCCTTGAAACACCCCCACAACCTCCCCCCCTGCCCCACCATTCTCAAACCTCCTGATTGGGCCAGTCCTTAGACCAACTCTGCAGAGGCATAGGTTCTCATGAAG